TTCTGTGATTCTGTGATTCTGTGAAATACATGGTGCTAAAACACAGTTGTTTTTTTAAAGTATCTGAAGGTTGGTGAAAGACATAAAGAAGAAAGGAAGTTGGTTTTGGCATGATAGCTTATAATTTTACAGCTTTCATGTAGAATGTCCTTAATTTCTTTCTCTCCCAGTCCTTGGGTCTTTCCTTAGGGAACCTCCTGGATGACTGCCTTTTACAGTGCAATGAAGGACCTATGCATGATTGCTCTGGACTGCGAGATGTAGTAAGTTGTTTGGAACTGATGGACCTCATGGACAGGTCTGCCTGTGGGTCTGGATTTCTCCTGTTGCCTGAGTCATACATCTTGATACACTGCTCATGGTTGTACCTCATCTTACAGACTTGCTTTTCTCAGGCCAGTGCTGAGGTCCTGTGAAGACAACAGAGGTTCTTCCTTTGCAACTGTCTTGTGCTTTCAGTTGCAGGTTTCTACTGGGTGGTTCTGCTTCGGACAGGAGGTTTCAGTTGATGTCCTCCACAGGTCCCTTCCAAACCAACATATATGTGCTTCAACAGCTTCCAGATTTATTTTGCCTCTCTCTGGGATTCCTTTGAACCTGTGGGTCTCTGTCATGGCTGCCCCTTAGCACAAAGGTTCCTGCACTGCTCAGTGTAGTAGGATTAGTTTCACTTGAGCCACCTCGGGCAAGCCTGACGCCCTACTGAACAGTGCTCCCAGGGTGTACGAAGGGCTGCTCCTCTCCTACCACCTCCTGTGCTATTGTGTGGTCTGCCTCACGGCAGGCACATTGCTGCTGTGTAAATTGTTTGTGGGAATCAAAATCTGTCTTGAGAATCCCATTTTCATGATAAATAAGCAAGTCTCTTCCAAGACTGTAACCAGGACTATGTCTAACACCTCGACTGAAGAAACAGCAACTCAGTGATACCATTCAATTGGCAGATGTCTGCTCAGACTGTTACGGAGGGGTGGTTGGTTTCTGTGTCCTTCTACCAGTGTGATCTGGCCAGGATGAAGGTCATGTCAGGTCACTGCAGACTGTGCGGGCCCGTAGCTGCAGTGTGTGGCTGTCTGCTGTACCTGTTCACTAAATGCACAGAGCTCAACAGGAAATTCCATGTACTTTGCCACCCCATCATAAGCTCCTTGTGGCATGCTTTAATTTTCAGTCCCTCCAAATCTTCTCTTTTTTTTTTTCCCAAGGGCTCTATGGGACCCACCATTCCTCCCTAACCACTTTTCAGAGAGTTTATGTGTTATAGCTCTCTAGTTACTCTCATCTTTAGGCTTTGGGTAGAGAGCTTCCATCACACATGCCAGTGCCACAGTCCTGTCTGTGCCACAAGATGTCACTGAAGTCAGGATGTCATTGGCATTGATTGACCTGTTCAAGGTATGATTTTTTTAACTTATGAAATACCTTAAACACCCAGTTCTAGATACAACAAGGAGTGGAAACTGGACAAATCACATTGCCAATCAGAAGGTTTTATTACAAAGAGCAGTAAAATACGAGATGTTAATCTGAAGAAAAAATTTCTTTCTAAATAAAGGCAAAATCAGCATAAAAGTTGTCTTCCTGTGACTAGAATTCTGACATCTGTAAATGATTCAATTCAATCACTAAAAAAGGTGAGGATGAAAGTAATTTCTTCAGAATCTTCCTTCAGGATAAATGGGAAGTCCAAAGCAAATAAAATCTACAGAAACAGCAGCAGATTATTCTCCTAATTTTTTATTTCTTCAGAGGAATCTGTGGCCAAGAATACATGTTTCAGGAGTTTACCTTTACACAAAGCTCCCATTGGAATATGTCATGAGTTTCCAAAAAGATGGATGGTCAGGTTTAATAATTGCACATTATCTCCCTTGTTAGAAAATCCACTTTATCTGGAGTTTCTGATCCATACTGACTCCAAGCTCTTTTTAAGTGTGGGCCAGAATGGGTCATTCTGATGTACTGCAATTTGGGATTTGCTTATTCCTCATTCTTCTACATGCTTTTTAATTGCCCTCTCAGAAACAACCATGTTTCTTGTCTTCTTCTTCCTCTACAAATGCTTGCCTGATACATTCTAAATCATTACCTCTGCTGGCACATATCTGATTTCAGTTGGAAGGTGAGGAGCAGGGTGTCTTGTATTCTGCAAGGGCATATTCATCTGGAAAGAGGAAAGGAAGATGACTTTTGCATAAGAGTGAGAAAAAATTCTGACCCCAGTCCTGTGCACCTCTGATTAACACATTATGAACCAGAAAATATTTGATAGATTTTATGGTAGTCTTCCAGTTGCCAAGGCACCCAGTGGCAGGGGTGCCTAATGCACTCCTCTCGCCTTGTTTGTCAGGACATATCATTGCTGTGACCACGCAAGATGTGGATCAGGTAGCAGAACATGCACTCCAGGGTCAATTATCTGGATGCTACTGCTAATCTGCTAGGATGCAGTTCCCAAAGGCTGTGCCAAGCTTGAGAAAAGCATGGGGGAACCTAAGCCACAGTTTGATAACACAAGTTCCACAACTGGGTTATGTCTGGTGCAATTGTAGTTCCTTGAGGTCAGATCAAGAAAGGTGGTAAGGCACTTTCTAGTTAGGTGCCGAAACTTCTCTCTAGTTCAGTGGGACTGTCATTCCTACTGAAGTATGTATAATTCCACTCCGGAAGAATACTTTGTCTGCAGGCTACTATGGCAATATAAAGCAAAAATATGAGATAACCAGCATCAGGAAAGTCAAGATCACTGCTGTCTTTGAGTTATTGATTTTAACCATCATGTTCAAACTGTGGAAAGAAAGTGGAACTACACTTCTTGCTGTATGTAGTTTGTAAGAAAGCAACTCCTGACGTATCACTTTCTAATCTGCTTTATGTTGAAATGAAGCAAGCATTAAAAGATGGGGGAGGGGCAGAAACTGTCTATGCTCTGTAAACCCTTTGCAGTCTAGCGATCAAAAGCAGTAGAATTGCTAGCTTGCTCTCCACCTATGTTTCCTGAGAAAGAAAGGCAGCAAAAGCAGAAAAGTGAAGAGAAGCTTGCACAGAGCGAGCAAGGGCAAATCCACTATCCACACCTTGTAAATGCTGAGATCAATTTTTCGATTTCACAGGTTTTGCTCAGGCCTACTGAGGTCACCTACCTGTTTCGTAGTAATCATACATATGCACTGGCACTGGTTTGATATCTGAGACAGGCAGGCTTTGCTCCACACTGAAGGCAAAGCTGATTTCCTCCCGGGAGACCTGGAAATGGCAAGAAAAGAAAATGCAGCAGATGTTTTTTTTTTTCATATTTACCTCTGAGGCTAAGGTTGAACAGATGCATTTCTGGGTCAGTCTGGGTGACAAAGTGCCATTCAGCAGTTCTCTCCAGATTGTAAACTTGATGTCAAAACAGATAATTGTTTAAAAACTGTTGCTAAATATGTTTTGTTGCTAAAATTGTGTGCTCTTTTCTCTTTCTTTCTTTCTCTTCATATTTCCACTGCCAATTACCCCAGTCATTCCCTGATTACTGTGGTTTTCAGCACACCGGAGTTCATCCTGTCACTGAAAGTTGCTGTCAATTTCTTTCCTTGCCTTTTCCCAGCTAAAATTACCTTCAGACCCCCTATGAATCTTCTCCCTATTTTTCTCTCTTTAATCACTTTGAACTCAAGATCTCCATCCTCCCCTGTGTTTCTGTTTCTCATTTGATGGTCTTGCAGCCAAATGTTCCAGTTGTTCCTCCTTACTCATCTTCCTCAGCTTCTCAAGCTTTCTCTTGCATGCCTAGGACTGTGCCCCTGCTCTCTTCTCCCTTTTTATCTTGTTGACCTCTTATAGAGATGGAGCCATGCACAGGGGCTCTGGAGAGCTTTCTGCATAACCCTGCTATGTAAACTCTTCACATCTCAAGATCTCAGCTCTTCTGTAAATTCAAACTATTGACTCCAGTCTTCCTTATTAGATCCTTGGAGACCATCAGATAAAAATTACTGTTTGAGAGGTAGATATCATTACTATTTCTTTTTGTTTTCCATCTTCTTCCCTTCTTGGTATTTCAAGATCCCATGTGTTTTGATTTTCATCTTTCTCTTCTCTCATTCTCTTTATTAATGTCATTGATGTGGAAGCACTATTCTTTTCATACAGAAATCTCTCTAAAAGGGAGAGGATGATGCTGACTCCATGTAAAACACTCTCAGATCAACTGACGGGAAACATCACTTAGAGGCTAAGCAATTTTATGTAGACTGGGAACTTTTGCAATATGAAATGCAACTTCTCTGTGTTTGTAAAATGCTGTTTAATCATACAGTATTCTACACAAAAAAAATAAACACAAATGCATAGCTCTTCACTGTAGACTACAGCTACTATGTATATATATATATTTGATGTTGGACTGAGTGAAGTTCCTTTACATCCTTAAGGCATGTGTAATGCTGATGTGCTATTAATGAGGTTTTTCTTTTATTTGGGAGCTGCTTCTTCCAATTTCATAAAATCAAACAGAAACCACTCAAACTTACCTTCTGAAGGTAGAAGAGGATGTGGTTGTTCTTGATATCTACACGATCCACAACGGAATTCTGTTGCTGAAGCTTTAAATAAAGCAAATTATAGCAATGTTAATATAGGAGACTTGCCAAAGAGACTTACAAATAACTTTTCGATAGCAAGATAGGTTTCAAGTGACTGCCGTGCTCCTCTTGTGCCACCTCGACATCTCGTGGCCAAAATAAGAAGTGCAAGTTGAGTATTTTCATAACGAGAGCAAAGCAGTCACAATGATAAATAGGTTTACTAGTCAGCTTTGGTGCATGTGACTTTTATCATTAGTTTAAGAGTGTTCTCACTTCAATGCGAATTTACAACTGCACCACTATTTCTGCAGAACAAGCTGACTCACTTGAGTGACTCGAGGCCACTGCATATTTTAAAAAACAAAAGTTTAAAAACATTTTAGAAAATCATATGAGCAAAATTATTTTACTATAAAAATACACAAACCCAAAATATTCTAAACATTAAAAAACAACTATTTTTCCCTCATGTACATATAAAGAGGCGTAGGATGCTAAACAGTGTAACATCTCAATGGAAAAATCTTCCAAAGAAAAGTTAAGAATTTCATACAGTTCTAGCCAAAAAAAGAAAGTCAGGCCTGAATGCTGAATGATTTTAGATGGATCAAGCTATGAGCAGCCTCTACAATGGATTGCATTCTTCTTTTTGTCTACTTGAAGATTATGGCTCATGACATAAAGCTAGTGCATGTGTTGCAGTACCTAAATAGCACTAGGAGCTGGAATGAGGGGTTTATCAGTGCTCTCCCCAGCATTGTCACCATCATGACCAATTTTAAGGATAATAAAAGAAGAGCAATACCCAATTTTTCTTTCTTTGTTAAACTGTGCTGTAGAGGAAGGAATAACCATGTCAAAGATATAAATTTGCAGAAAAAGCCCATTTGAACAATTTAACTGTGGCAGAAGTATTTCTTACATAGATTCTGTCAGGTTGTGTGATTAAGGACTCATACACACAAACACTAAGAAGCACAGGGAAACCCCAGTAACTGAGTCACCCTGATGCTGCTCCACCCAGGGCTGCCACAGGGCAGTGACCAGCCCCATTGTCAGGGAGTGAGACCCACCAGGTGAGTCAACAGCAGCGTATCCCTGGATCACCTTATAGACTTAAGGGGAAAGCTGCCTACAGGGACACAGAGGTGAGTATGGGATGCTGGGACTCGGGAAAGGGTTACTACAGGATGTTTAGGGGAAGAACCAGAAGTAACAAAGAAAAGGATAAAGTCTGATTTGAAGTAAAAAGGGTGAAATATTGAAATATTGAAATATTGAGGATACTGGTGGATCTGAGTTGGCTACTGGAGCAACCAGGAGGTCCAAGCCTGTTACTGAAGAGACCATAAGGTCTTGGGGGCAGATGCTGCTCAGGCTATTGGGCTGGACCAGGCTGCAGAGACTCATTTGTGTGTGTCTGTGTGTGTGCAACTGGGAGACCAGGGGATCCAAGCCCAGCTGCTGTACAGATGTCTAAGGCAAGTTACTGGAGGTACCCAGCATTCATAAATGGGCGCTGGGGAAGACAGTTCCAGCCACTGGAGTGGGGCTGCAGCCTGAAGGGCGCATACGTCCAGGTGCCAGCGACTGGGTAGAACAAGGACCCAAGGCCAGCTACTGGACAGACTGAATGTCTGAGGTCAGCTACCAAAGGGATCCATGTTGTGTGTTTCCATGTGCATACATGTGTATGTATACATATATAGACATATCTTTTCCACAAATGAGCTTTCAGTCTGATCAGCCAGAAATGGGAACAGGATAAGGCCATTTGTGCGACCTGTGTTCCTGTAGGTACTGTCTTTTCTGTCTCTGTTGATCTGTGTGGACAGTTGTATATACAGGTGTATCTATATATGTATATACATGTATAGTGTGCATGTCTGTCCAATGGAAATATACACTTTGCTTTGTTGTTGGCTCGGGATATGAAGCTGCAGCAGTCTCACCTCTGTTGGGCTACTGGATTTGGCAACTCCTAACAGATTTCTTCAACAGATGAACAGCAACAAGACTGGGACAGAGAATGCGTGACAGAAGACTATGCCCAGGGACTTTGCAGCATTCCAATGGGGCTTCAATTTGCTAATCAGAGACTATTTTTATCAACTTCCTATGTTTTAAGGGTTTACCATTCATTTTGCTCCAATTCTATACCTTTGTCAGGGAAGATCTTACAGGAACAAAACCTGAGAGCATCTTCACATCAATAATAGCCATGTTGGAGACTTCGCGGTGTCCTGTGTAACTAAAATGAGAAAAGTTCTGTTAGTCTGGTCTGCAAATGGAGAGGAGACCACTAAGTGACATTTTCAGCTCCCAATGATCCTGTTTATCTTCCTGCAGCTGTCCAGTAGCAGTTAACTGCCTGTACTTAAATCCTTCCTTGGATGCTTTTCCAAACTGTGAATGCAAGGGGTTACATCAATAAGAGGAAGTTACCTGGCAGTGAGGACAAGGTCAAACTTTGGTGGGAAGTTGCTTGTGCAGGATGCATTGGCTGACTGCACGGAGAGAGAAAATCCTGCAGCTTCTTTTGGCAAATGGACGTTGTATCTCAGGGTGGTCTAAAAGAGATGGAAAGTATGAGATGGTCACAGACTTACAGGTTTCTGTGGTTTTGACATGAGATATGGAGGGGAATGAGGTATGGAGGACCCTCTGCTTAGTACTCAGAGGGGTGGTGCTGAGTTTGCAGCTTGCTTACCTGCACATAGACACAACCAGTGCCATTCACTTCCACACTGTAATTCCCTGGAATAGTGGGTAAGGAAGTCTGCTGCAGCAAGAAGCGGTTCTTGTCATTCACTTGGAAAGTCTTACTGGGGGACTTCATGAAGTTGACTTTGACTGAGTTAAGACTTCCTTTAGAGAAGGTGAGGTATCCATACTGGGCTAAAGCTTGGAGAGCAACAACAGTGTCCTGAAAAGAACAACATGATCCCTTTTTAGATAGATACCGAGCTGTAAGGTGGTGCATGAGATTAGCACAGCTCGTATTTCCCTAACACTTTGTCAGTGCTCATATATGGATAGGGACTTTGCAAAGAGCTAAGGAGACAAGATACAAATTCTGAGGCAGTAGGTTTGAATTATCTCAGAAAACCTGGGACAATTCTATGCCAACAGTGACTTTTGTCTACTGCTAACTGTAAACTCAGATAAATTCCCATTTCCTAAAACTAAAATATATATGAAGCTGTCTATCCAAAGCATGATGTGCCCTGACAAGGAAACTTATGAGATCATCATTTATCAAATATTATTCAAAGGAATATGCAGTCAGGAATATATGGCATACTATCAAGATCCAGCTTGCAGGCTGGACTGCTCCCAGAAGCTTTCTTCTGCCACACCCAGTTGTTACCTGGCTGGAGGAGAAACCACCATATGGGTTCTGTTGTTTGACAAGCCAGCGCACGATGCGAGAAATGTAAGATAAGTCTTCTGGAGTGAGATTGACTTTGTAGAGCAAAGCCAGGAGTGCATAACTGGTCATTTCAATCTCAGCAGAAGGGGCACGGGGATAGAAGATGGAGAAACGTTCTGCTGGTGGCTTATTTTCTCTCTGCCAATAAACTGAACCACCTGAAAATAGAAAAATGAAGTGTAAAAGGCATGGAAAAATTACTTGTTGGATAATTCACTACAGTATCATGTAGGAATTAGGCACACAATTCCCTCTTCACCTTTGCCCAAAAGGTTTTTCAGCCATCAGTGTACTGAACTGGTTAAGTTTTAGTTGCAGGATGGAAAAGAAAACAGGAAGGGATGAAAAGGAGATTAATAAAAGGGGGATGTGTAAATCAGAGAGGGGTTGAAGTGAAGGCAGTGCAGTGGAAGGATGCCAAGGGCAGTTGAGGACTGGAGCACATGACAGTCAAGGGAACTGGGTTTGTTTAGCATGCAGAAGAGGAGGCTAATGGGGAAACGAGGTACAGTCTTCCGCTACCTTGGACTGAAACTTCCAGGAGTCTGGATTACTTGTATTATTTCATAATTCTAAGAAAATCAGGCCAGAGCTCAATCTTTTGTGAAGCCAAAGGAAGAGACAGAGAAGTTCATAGAGATAAATTCAGTACCATAGCAGGCATGAAATGGGAAGGGAGCAGCATGAATGAGAAAACTGTACATCAGAATAGCTTACAACATACCCCAGGCCATTCCATCAGCTGTATTGCCTGTACCATGGTTATACTGGACTTACCATCTCTGGTAGCTGCCTTGTCCAGCTTCTCAAGGAAGAATTGGTATCTTTCCTCTTTGTCAGCTAAGCCATAAACATAGGCAAAGAGGGCCTGGTTATACAGGTTGTGGACCCCATTGCCAAATGCAGTCTCCAAACAGTTCATGCCACTCTGAACAACAGGGTGCTAGTAATGCAAAACATAGTAGGGTTGTCAGGTACTTAGATCTGAGTCTTGAATTACCTTTATATACTTATATCACTGCTTAAGCTGTCATCACTGGCTCTTCATACTAAAAATATACATGATCCATGGTATGCTTAAAGGCCTACATTATGTATCCTGTAAAAAATGCCTTTCCAGTGGTGCTGCCTTCTTTCTGCATTTATTTAGAAGCAACATGACTAGACTAACAGAGCGCTGGTTCTTTTCCTGACTTGTGAGATGACCTTATGCAGGTGAGTCCTTTGGCCCTTGGTTGCTTTAGCTTTAAAATGTGAATAATTTTTACAGAACTATGTAAAGTGTATTGAGACCTCTTGATAAAGCATGCTTTCTCAAATGGATGCTATTACTGGTTATTACCAGATAACTCTTCAGCCCTTTTAGCCTCACAGAATATCTCTGTGAGCTCTACTGCAGCTCAGACATCACCAGCACAACTGATTTGTAACACTCATCAAATATGGCAACTGCAGGGTTCTGGAAAACAGTTTTTATCAGCTGAACCTGCCATCCCACAAACAGTATTTACAGCATTGTTAAAGAATACAGATGCGAGGTCTATGGCTTTTGGACTGATTGACAAATGGCTGACTGGACTAATAGAACATTACAGCATCAAATACCTACCACAACAGAGTGTCCAGCCTCCAGCAGTGCTGCCACAACATAGGCTGTGAGTGAATATTCATCTTCTTCTCCACCCTGAAATAAAAAACAAGCAAAGAATAGGTCAGTACAGATGTCCTAGAAAGAAACAAAATATTAATTAATTCATAATTCAGATAGTAGTTAGATTTGAGACCAGATGTGATTTCTGTCTCCCTGTGTACACAGGAACAAGAAAGATCAAGTTCACTGAGGATAAAGCCAAAATTATTTCATGCATTTTCTTGGCTTTTGCACATATGCAGTAAAGCACTTTATAGCCTGTGGCTGAACACATAATGCAGGGGAGGAAAATAAAACCTGAGACTTCTGGCTCAGAAAGTTCTACTTGTTTCTACCTCATAATCAATGGCAGACAGAAGAATCATGCCCTGCTTGTATATGAGAGAACAGTACTAGAAAGAGTAAGGGTGAAATTATCCAAATCTATCTCAATGGCAGGACTGGAAGTTTGGGACAATACTTGTCTCAGTTACCTTCAAAGCATTGTTGAAATGTGTCCCAGCATTTTCAAAGCAACCATCTGACTTCTGCTTGCTCGCCAGCCAGATCAAAGCTTGAGACTGGACATTGTCATCAATGTAGATGTAACGTTTGGCTTGTGCAAATGACTTGTACACAAAGGCAGTAAGCCTGCAGGTGAACCAGAAACAGAAAGCAGGTAAGGTGTGAACAAGACCATGAAGGTTTTCCAGCAACTGGATATGCGTAGGAAATGACATAAAATGGACTCCATAGTGTCTAAGGTAAAAGAAACAAGTGTATTGTATATTTTAAGTAAATAATCCTGATATTAAAACCTGACCTGAGGTTTGTCCATTACTGTGCTGAAACCATTCTTTCAGAGCAGGGGTAAAGAATAGACCCATCTTGATGACTGATGATAGTGATTTCTAATCTTAATTAAAAGGATTATGAAAAATCTAGGTGGGAAGAGACCTCTGGAAGTCTCCAGTCAAACAACCTGCTTAAACTAGGGCCAACTTCAAAGCTCTGACAGGTTGCTCAGTCTATTGTCCAATCATGTTGTGAAAATCTCCAGGGATAAAGATGCTCATCCTCTCTGGGCATTTGTATCAGCGCTGCAGCCTTCTCCTGGGGAAGACTTTGTTTTTTTCCCTTTCTGCCCAATTGGAGTTTTCCCTGTTGCAACTTGAGTAAGGACTAACTCTTGTCTTTACTCTGTGCACCCCTGCATGAGTCTGACTCTACAGAATCTTTCTTTTCTACAGACCCCATTTAAGTAGCAGAAAGCTTTGCCTAGGTTCCCAATTAATCTCCTCTTCTATAGGCTGAACAAACCCAGTTCCTTCAGCCTCCCCATGAACATTATTTACTCTAGCCTCCAATCATCTTATCATCCTTTTGTTGCACTCTCTTCAGTGTATTAATCTTTCCTTTATTAGGGGATCCAAATTAATTGAGCCATGTCCATTTAGTCTATTAAAAATAAGAATCACTTAATACTTCGGTAATTTTTCAAAGCCTAAAGATCCTGTGCTAGAGAAATAGGAAGTGTTGTCACTTACCATACACTCCCCTCCTTATCTCGTGTCCCAAAGGAGCTGTAGGATCCATCCCGGTGTTTGTAGGATAGCTGTTTCTGGTACCCTGAAAACACAATAAAGAAGGCATATTTTCTAATCACAGAAAAAGTCTAGTTCTGCTGTTCATTCAACTGAAGCAGTAAGACTTTTTGATTTAGTATTAAGTAATGTATGTCCGATGTATAGTGTCATCCACTGTGAGTTCTAGCTGCTTTTGTTCCTGGAAGTACGACATGCTGCTTTGGGGTGCTGTCATTGCTGGCTCCTATGCAATAAATGCAGTGCTATAATTCAGAGATCAGTGTTCACCATGTAGAGCTTTAGAGTTCAATGAACACAATCACAATATTAGATGGAAGAATCTGAAAGCCTCTCACCTGTTGACAAATATCCAGTACCCTTGAGTCTAATCTCTTCAGTCAGCTGACCAGTCTTATTCAGATAATCCAGGGCATAGATGTTGGGTGTGAACAAGGCCATGTTCTGTTCTCCGCAGCCATAAGGCATATGGAGGAGGTTCTCCATGTTCCTCAGGGCTGTACCCAAAATGTCTCCTAAAGAATGAAAGATATATGAAGTCAGTTCAGTTCAAACATGTTTTTTATTACACAGCATTATACATTGCTGTATATTACCTTAATATGAACCCAAGGGCAATGACCAATGTAGAGTATTCTCAATAACCAAAGACCCAGCTTAGATGATACGCTGAAATGCCATCATTTTTTATTCTTTATTTTAATGCCAGACACCTGGGATAAACTGAAAATCTGAGAAAAAAATGAGCACAAGTACTGGCTGGCAGGGGTTGTGAGAAACAGCTGTGAACCTTTAGAAGGGTTAGACTTCCCTGTCCTTTACAACCTCCTTCCCATTTTTTGTGTGCATGTGAGAATGATGTGTGAGGTACGATGCTGATGAGCTACAGAGGCTGCATAGCACAGTATCAGCACACCTCACACTGACCCAGACATGCAAAACAACTGTGTTTAGGAAGCAGTTGAGAACTCTGAATTTCAGTGAAAAAAATTTCACTGAAGAAAGCTGTCAGTCTTGCTAATGACTTTAAGATTAGTAGAGGTGATTGGAACCTGAAAGTCTTACCCTACTTATTGACTAACAAATGTTTTTCATTATGCAAGAGCACAAATTTGAAATTACACAGTCAGCAAATTTGTGAATTCTTCTTTCCAAGAAATAAAAATAATTTTTTTCAAAGAAGTCTGCCTTATCTTACTTTTCAGCTGAATCAACTGTTTTGATATACAGAATTGGATATGCTAATGCAGTATACTCTGTAGTGCAATATAAGTTGAAATAATTAGACTACCTTTTGATATGAGAGAATTCCAAGCAACTTTTGTCTTTCATTGACATTTTGCAAAGTGGGAAGCATTTCCTCTAAACTCAAGATTAAGTATTTCCTCAACTTTGCATTAGTTTTGCATATGTATATATGATGGCACTTGGTGCAGCACAAGAGAAATGCTATTTATTTTTGGTTTTAGTCTAAGTACTAAACTTACCAATGAAAGAAGAATAAGCTCTGGCTGATCCCTCCACTAGGTTTCTTGGCAGGCTGAGAGACACTGGTTCAGATATAATTGCACCTGATGAGAAAAAGTAACACCAAGAATTATTAAAATAATCTTTTTCCAGAAATCTTCACTTTGTAAGCATTACTACAGTGACTGTTACAAACTGCAGCCTAGGTAAAGAAAATGCTGCAGAAATTTGCATAATGTGTCAAGAATACCACTGGAAATCCTGAATTGTAGCCCAGCACCTTGTCTCTGAGACCCTCTTTCCTCCCCTGGAAGACTCTCTGGTTCTGTAGGACAAAACCTACAAGATGGTGAAGCAGTTCTACTGACTCCCTGGTATGAATGAAGGAACTTGTCTTACCTTTTGTACAGATGAGAGCGCTCTGAGTCAATTCCTTTTTAATACCTTCAGGCTGTTTCATTGCAGAGAAGTGGTCAGGAAGAGGAAGAAAAGTGTAGAAAATCACCATGAAGCCATGACAATTTAACAGTGTAAAACAGTATGTGGATATGGCTATCCAGAAAGTGCACCTCTTGTACCCAGTCCTACCCTATCTCCACTGGAATATCCCTTGGTCCATGGGTCCCTCTCTCTTCTACCCAGCACCCTGACCAGAGCATCTTCCTTCTTAGAAAGCAGTTATCAAATAGACATTTTCAGCCTCTGAGAGGGACTCTGTCCAACTAATCCTATTTAGCTGCTGCTTTATGATGCTCAAGATAAATCCCTTTCTTTTTACATCTGCCCTCCCCCCCCTTCCCCAGTATTAGAGTCACAGGATAAAGGCATTTATAGGTATGGTAAGGAATCTCCTCCCTTCTGACTACATCTCTACTGACATCTGTGGGGTGTCAGGACATGTGAGCTTGTGGCCCTGGGAAGGAGACAGTGGCAGGAGGACAGCGGATGCCACTGATCGCTGTGATTTACGCTCTCATTTTCACGTGGAGAAGCCTACTGCACACAGCTCCATCTGTGTCAGCTGCCTGGCCTCCTCACACTAGCTCACTGCTTCTAACTCATGGCTAGAGGAACTGCAGTTTCCAGAAAGCAGAAAGCATATGCAGATTTCCTACCGTACCTCAACAAGTAGGGTTTTAATCAGGGTGTCCCTGCGAATTGTCTCCTCTTCTGGGGATGTGGTGTTTCCAGTACCTCTGGTGTTTTGTTTGGCCTCAGCAGTAATCGTGAACTTCACCTCACCTGGAAAGCCACCCACCAGCCCAAGAAAAGAAAGTTATCTTCAGTGCTTTCACTGCCTCTTCTAGGCTGGTGGACTGCTGAGAAACATAATCTCTCTAAAGGCAGCTCAGTAGGAACAAATTTCATGAAAACTCTGTATCTGTCCACTAGTGGCAAGGAGTGGTTGTCTGGGACCCTAGCATGAGGAACAAAATATGGGTGATCCTGGCCAAAAAACCTGACAGTACTCACTACCAGTTTCCACCTCTTCTTAGTCTTGTGCTGAGTTTTCTCTGCCCTAGAGCAGTGTTGCAATAGCAGGTTTCTTTTTTTCAGCTCTGCAGTATTATTTTGCTGCATATCCAGTTTTCATCTCACTATAATTTTGTGTCTTTCTCAGACAGTTTGAAGGAAATCAGTCATACTGATTATAGGGTTTTTGAAACAACCTTTTAAAGGAAAGGTCCATCTGTGGTTCATTTTGAGAATAAACTTTGCTTATTAAGAGTTTTTTGTACTTCAGCTTTTGGGGCACTTACACATGCAAGCCTTTGTAACTGTTTTTTTTTAAAAAGACAATGTTGATACTGAAAATCCAGTCCAAAAGTATTAGCAAATTTTATTCTTACTGAATGCAGTTGGTTAGGTGCAACATTATCAGCTGAAAGATCATAGGCACATGAAATCCTGCCAGTATTTCATACATGATGTGCCAAGGGAAGAGTTCTTTCTAAGATAGGCAGGAAATGGACTACCAAAAATCAGAAGATAAAACACCAGAAAAATTCACTGCTCTTCCAGTACATCTAAGGGAACTTTAGCAGAGGTCCAATACTAAATTTGTAGAGCAATTAATGGAGCTGTCCAGAGATGCCTGCCTGTGGATTATTGATGCTGCTTCAAAGGGTGGGAATGACGGAAATGGAAAGATGGAACAGATATATCAAGGTGATGAAAAGACAAACTTACCGAGTGTGAGGGGGCTAACAGCCCAAATATAGGTTTTTCTTTCATTGGCACACACCCTTGCTGTGGTGCCCTCTGGTGAAAGGATTTCTGCCTTGTAGTCGCTCGACTTTGCCAACATGACACTGATCTGAGACAAAGAAAGAAGGAGCAAGATTACAAATTAGGTAGGCTTGCTCTAAAGTTAGGCCACAGAGCAAGAGGGGCTTGCTGGGGAAGCTATTTGTCATCTGAATCTGTGGGGGTGATACCAGGACAGAAGGATGGGGCATTTCTCTGAGGAATGGCAAACCTGTCTCTTTTCTGCACAGTGTTAGTGTCTTTTTGTCTATTTTTGACTGAAATACACCAACGTGTCTGTGCTCATTAGACAAGTCTTCTTATGAGTTACTGCTACATAAAACACATGCAGTATGTATTGTGTTTTGCACAGCACAGTACCCATAGCCCCTGCTCAATTTCCTCCTTAAAGAGCAAAAAGAAGTAATAAATTACGTTGGGATAAGGAACAAGTTCTTATCTTCCATAGACCAGCCACAGTGATCATCGGCCATGTTTCACTAACGCTATGACACAGGGACTGGTCCAGGAAGAGACCGTGAGAGAGTAATTTGTCAGGCTAAAGCATAAATTAATCCCTTATTTCTGCATTTCTGAGGCATTATGCAGGAGAATGCTGGAATATCTGTAAAATAGAGAAACCATATATGAAGTAAAAGGAAACTTGGTATACCTGGATGCATTTGTCGAGGTAGTTGAAGACGTTGGCTATTAAATTAAATTTTTCCCCTCGAATGACAGAGTATGGGAAGGTGAAATCCACAAAGAATGGTTGGAATGCTTTCAGTGAAGCAGGCAAGGAGATGCCAAAGCCAACATCATCCTGCACGCAGAAAGCACTGGCTTTCCATTCTGTGATGGTATCAGGAATAGTGTAAAAGGCATTGACTTCTCCCCTAGAACTGAGGAAAATAAGAAAAACAGAATAAGAAATTATCTTAGGCATTTTCAAGCCAAATTATAGAACAGACTCCTGCTTGAGTTACTACTTTTGTTTCCATCTCACTTTTTGCAAGATACCTCTCAATATTTAAAAAAATATTATAAAGCTGGAAGTAAAGAAGATGCTGCTGGTGATCTACATGTTAAAAAGCACTTGGAAGAATACTCAGATTTTTTAATCTAGAAATGCCATTTCTTTAAATACCGTAATACCCAAACATACTTATTAGAAGCAACAAATTTGGATTTATGTTCTAGAACAGATCACGGATGCATAGTTAAGATGGAGATATTCTCATTGCAGCATGGAAAGAAAACCAAAATAATCTGAGTCTTCTGCTGAATTAAAAAATTGATGAAAAAAAGGACAAATTTTGCTCCTGCTCTCTCCTAAGTAAATACTTTTATTTTACTCTTAGCCCTTGTTCTTTCTCTCCATCAGAAAGATGGGAGGCAGAGCACAGAACAGATGTCATTCACAGTTCAAGTAGGTTTGACATTGTGTACAAGGTTGGGACCTCAATGATCATTGAGCAAGATGGGAAAAGGAGACCTGCATCTACAAAGCAGACATATAGTCAATGGCTTCTTCTCAGAATTAATTTCAGCAACATATATCAACTCAAAAATCCACATGGGAGGTAAGAAGTGAGATAAAAATACTCACTCGGTATGAACCAGATTCCAAATCCAGGTCTCAGGGAAGAATTTCCGAACAGAGTTAACAACAGGCCCTCCAATAATCCTTGACTCTTCTAGAAGATTGTGCATAGTTAAATTATAATATTAGAGAGGTCAGGTAGAAGAATCTGAACTGCCATCAGACATGCTCTACACCATAAATCAACACCAAGTATTCCATTTGAGCATGTTTCCATACTTTTTACTGTAAAAAAAAATAATCTAAAGATACAGTGTATGAGAAGAAACAATTTCTTATCCATTCTCTTTTCCCATGGGAAAAAAACATCAGAAAATTTAGCTATTTCAGAAGACATTTTACTTCATCTCATATTGAAAGGTCCCATCATTCAGTTAGAAAGGCCTGTGACCCATTCTCTACCCCTAGCTCTCTTTGATTTGCAACTGGGCAACAGTAGCCAGTATTGTCACCAAAGCTTATAATGCTTTGCAGACCTCCCTGAGAACTCAATAACTTTTAACCTGTTCAGGGTATCCAGTCCATTGAAAACCTGCTTTTGTTCATATAGTCAAACTACAGGTCTCATATTAGGATCCAAGGTCCTCTTTCCAATTTAGCCATGGACTCATTTGTGATGTCCAGCAACTCATTTAGCATGGAGACACGTAAGATTTCCTAGCAATATTGTGGAAATTACAATACTTTCTTATTTTGCTGGGCTTAGAATCACAGAATCATTGAAAGAATCTAGGATGGGAGGAACCTCTGGAGTTCTCTAGTCCAAACTCCTTGAAGTAGTACTAACTTCAAAGTCAGATAATGTTGCTGAAGTGTCTTGCCCAGCTCAGTTTTGAAAACCTACAGTGACAGAGATTCCAAAACCTTCTGGAGAACCTCTTCTAGTATAGTGCAACTCTCATGAGGAAGGACTTTTTCCTAGTGTTGAATAGCAGCTTCCCTTGTGGCAGCCTATGACTACTATTTTTCCTATTTGCTGAGCAATCTGACTTGGAGAAAGATAGTCATAACTCTATGAAGATTTTGGAGACTATGTGCTAAGTATGCTAAATGTGTGAATTCTTGACATTGAGAATTGCCATTATTTTTTCTGTATTGGCATTTCCTTTTAAATATTTAATACAGTTGTGATTTCATGAAAGATTCAGAGCTGAAAAACCCTGAAAAACAATATCGGTTTACGAAAGAAGTAGCATCCCAGTATTCCTTGTCTTTTCTATATGCACCCTGTACCTAAGTGAGAGAGATTTGACTTTACTGCAAGGACTTTCAGAAAGAGATTACTAGAGGCAAACTGGAACTCATAGACATATTCCCCAAAAAAGGTCAACATGTTGGCAGTTATTTTATACAGGCAACAATTTTGAAAACCAGGTAGACTGGAACTGGAGATATAGTATAAACCTACCTTTAGCACCAAAACCACTGCCACCTCCACCGGCGACACCATGGTCAAAATAGTGAGGGAAAACTTCCTTATCTGATCTGTCTTCATTGCACAAAACTGGCTTCCGTAGCACAGAGTTAGTGAAAACCTTCAGGCCCATATCCTGAATGAAAAAGAGTCAGTCATGTCGCTCAGGGCATGTACTAACTACCACTGCATGCCACTTCTCTCTAAATAGATCATAATACTTCATCTCTCTCCTCCCTCCTCCTTTCACATCCTTTCAGCCCTGAATGTCACCACTCTTCCTCTCCAACCTCTGTGTCTTTGCTATGGAGCAGTGACACCTGGTGTTCTGTGAGGAGCAGTAATAATGGGGCTTACATTAGGCCTTAGGCCATGGGGCCAGTGGGATGTGAAGGCAAGTGCATCAGGAACCAAGTGGTCTGCATCATGGACTCAGATCTTTACTAGGAATGCCTGAGGTCATGAGTCAAGGCTGTGGTCCTGCTTAGGAAATGTCTACTGAAGCATGGGCAAGATACCAGTGAATATAGCTGATTTTTAGTCTTCCTGAGTAAGAGATGAGGATAAGAAGGCAGAAACTGGGTGATTGGAGACTTTAGGCAGTTCCAGACATCAGCTGCCTTCTCTTAACAGTAAGAACCACCCCCTGAGAAAGTTGAACGCTAATGTGCATGAATTCTTTTGGAATACCTCCCACTTAAAGAACCACACAGAGCACAGACCTTGAAAATCCTGTAGACATCACCGTCACGACTGACATTCACAGGTTCATAGTATAAGCCATCAAAAAAGGTGGTTTTGACTGGGATACACTCCTCTGGCTTGTCATCTTCCAGGTTGACCCCATTGTAGTAATAGCCGTATAAATCATTTACACGAAGTTGGTAGTACACCTGGGAGGTAAGAATGACTGCTGTAAACACAAGAAAAGTACCAGGCAGGTGCGAAATCACATGTATTGAAAGCTTATGTTGCCCCCTGAGTAGACCTGTAGACTGCAGTGGGTCTGCCTAATGATGCCCACCTAGAGATCAATAAGAATTTGGCTGGTGATACACAAGAAGGACTGGACTCTACCCTCCTCCTGAGGTGTGATGGCTTTGTGGGGTGAACTTGAGCAAAAAGCACTGACATATATTCCTGAGTCATGCAAAGAGGAGACTGGGGTCCCACAAGATACTGGTTAACATCTTCAACTTTTGTTCTGGGCCCTAGGCCTATGAGAGTCATAAAATGCAATTTAGACTTAATCACTCCCTGGAAGAAGCTATGCTTTCAAGCATTTACATTAGGCATATTCTTGGGATATGTCTTAATACTGCCATGCTTTCCAAAAGTAAACGTTCCACTATCAATTTCTGTATTTGAAGTGTACAACTGACTTAGACCTTTCTTTAATTACTGAGATGTCTGTCTCCAAATGAAAAATAAAAATGCAATCAGCAACAGAGAGATCACGGGTGGGAACTGGAATGTCATTCTCGATGTCCCTAGGTCCAAAGAACACAGGGCGGGGGTTGTGGCTTACACTCTCAGCAGATAACTGTCGCTCAGGCTGAAGAAGAAGGACGCTCTGATCTACAGCTCGCAAGGCACAGTAGGAGTTGGCAGCAGCTTCAAGGTGGAGACTGACTTTGGAGCCAGGGAGACCCTGCTTCTCAGAGAACTCGAGCTGGAGCTGGAAATGAATAAATCCAAAACAGCCACACAGAAATTAGGAGAATTAACTTAGCACATACATCTAAATATCACCTTTCACTATCACTCGCTTTATTCTCTGTGAGGCAAAGTTCCTACCACTAGATGGCCCTTCGGAATCCCCGTTCCGTAAAAATTCACAACAAAAATTCATAATCCCCTAGTCACCTCCCTCTCCCCACTCCACTGAGAATTTAGTCTGAGTCTAAGCATATGTGTTAATTCCAGGGACAGCTCCTCATGTTCCCACGCATGTTCCCACATCTGTACCTTTTCCAATCCTAAAGGCCATCACAAGTGCAGGGCTCCTTATGAAGTAATTCTCTAACTGTTCTCTCAGCAAAAAGCCAGCTGATACAACCCTTAGTAAGAAAGCAAAGGTTTTTACCTTGTTTTTGAAGCATACATCACTGTTTATCCAAGAGCTGTCAGCCACTATCTCCCCATGAGGATGCACTGTGTAAAGCAACAGTCTGGCACTGGGGGCCAGCTTCTCAGTGACAGTCAGTGTGATGGAGAATGTGCCCCTGGGAGCTGTGGAAGAACATGGAACAGGGGAGGAGAAGACAACAAAAGAGATTAGACAAAACTCAGCTTTGGTGGAAGGACCACATAGTTATCCATAATCTGCCAGCACCTTTAAAAAACAAGTAAGTTAGATATTAGAAGATTCATTAGATATTAGATTTCAGTGACTGAGGAACAGCTTCCATCAGCAAGACAACATGTACAAACTGGTGGATGCTGAGAGCAGGGTACTGTGCAGAGAGCGGTGTCTGAGCTGAGTAGAAGTTGGACAGGGAAATCTGTGTGTGATTGCTACAAGAAGAGCACAACGTTTCCTTTGTGTCCCAAATCTAGAACCTCCTATGACAGAGGATATAGGGCAATCTCCTAAGCTAAGGGAGAGCTCTCTTAACACTAAGAAATTTGAAGTTTTTCTCTACATGGATGACAACTACTAGAGCAGGGACAGGAAATTAAGGTTAAGACCAAAGATGACAGATATTAAACGACAGGTCCTATATGTGGAGTGAAGCTTACTTAAGCTACCTACTGAAGACTGAAAATAGACCAGGTTCTGCAATAAAAGATATTTTTAACAATGAAAGAACAAAGTTCTGTTTGCTGTGATTGGTAGGATTGTTGTCATTTGTGGGCATTTGGAGACTTCTGAACGTGCAATGAATTCCAAGCAGTTAACTGTAAATATCCTTTAAAAAGTTTTAGTCTTTTAATTGGTGAAGACTAGGATGTCACAGAATAACTGAAATTGTAAATACTCCTTGGCAAGAACTAAAACAGAAGAAGATTACATTCCTTGTGTTCAGTCACAACCAAGTTTTCATCTTTCAACTAACAAGATAAATATGATTATGACATGGGGAATTGACTAGACGCTGCAGCAAAAGCAAATGATACCACGAGTGGTGACGGGTCATGGGGTTTAAGAACTAGTACCTGAGTAAGCCACAGTTCTCTGCTTTCATCTCTTCTTACAAAACTTCCTAATGTTCTGGTGCTCAGAACAATGCTTCTGAAGTATCAGTAGTAATATGGTCTAGAACTTACCACCAGTGATGCTGACTTGCTTCTGGCCACTGAGGATAATTTTTCCTTTTGCCATCACCTGGGACCAAAAAAAACCTCATGAGACAAGATTAAAAGCACCTCCTCTCTTCCCTCGAGAAATCACTGATTCTGGGTAGTGTTCTGAGAGGCTTCAAAGGGCATCGAGTTGTGATCTGTAATCACTGTCTGGTCTGGAGAATTCTGTCTTATATGGTGTTCAAGAGAAAGTGAAAGAAATTAGATACCTGTGCAGTCAAGGTAGCACTTACCACATAGTAGAAGTTTGCATGGCTGGCATCCCCATAGCCCTCTCTGTTCAGGACATATTGAACGTTGATTGTTCGCTGCTGGCCACAGCTGAGCTTCTCCTCCACTGGCTCGATTTTTACAAAACTGTTGGTCCGTGAGTAGAAACGCCGAACAAAGAATGAGACTTGGGGCTCATTATCATTTCTCCAGATGAAGAAGTCTGCACAGTCATCTGGTGCTTCCCTGACCTATGAAGCAGAAGATTCATATATGGGGAATGAACAAAGTGAAAATAAAAAAACATCAGGCAGATGAGAGACAAAGGCATTTTCCCTCTAAAATATTTTGTTGGGAAGCAGATTCTGTGGCACTGTTTAAGCCGAGAGCAAGAACTGGTGTGAAAAAGTTGCACTTCACCAGTCAGAGCAGGGGGCCTACTGGATAACTTAATGTATCTAGAAACCTACAACACATTTGCGATAGGGAAGTTATTTCAGATTCTTGCAGGCTTGGGACAGGTTGTATAATGTTTGTATATGTTTTCTCATATGAGTTTCACACAAGTTGCAGGTGGACTGACTGCCTACTTCCCTCATCTGAAACAATCCTGCCCACACCCACCGATTGCTTCTAATCCCTCTCTCCAGTTAAGTATTTTTTTCAGGAATTAGACTGAAGCCTACATTTACTTACTGTCAACTTAAAACTGGGATCAAAGAATTTGGATGTGTCGATGGAAAAAGCAGCAGTGCCATTCTTGTCAGTGGTATAGTTGGCCAGATATACTTCATTGAGCTCCAGCAGGACAGTCCTATCAGCAGTGGGCTGGCCATCCGCATTTGTCACAACGATCTTTGAACACAAAGTATACCCAAGGGATTCAGAAAAAAAAAACCACCAAACAACAAAAAAGAAGAAAAAAAAAGAAAAACCAAACAAAAAGAATAGGAAATGCTCTGCTCACTAAACGATGCTCACTTAAGCACTGGGGACAAGTGCAGGGAGTAGAAATCAAGAGTGAAATGCATTTAAGAGTGAATGCTCCTCAGTATTTTGAAGGAACAGGAGTTCTGTGACAGGCAAAAGCAGGAAATTCACATCAGTGCAAGGAGAAACTGTATGTCACAGAGGAAGAAGGAATTGTTTATATACATGATCTTATATAAAAGATTCTTTTAATGATAAGTCCTCTGTTTCTCTTCAGTGATCCCATCTTCAGTAGCCCATCATGTAAGTTAAAGACTGCTGAGTGAGAAAGGATGGTTTAAATTCTTACCTCATGCTCTCCCTTCATGAGCAAATGGAAACAGAGGCACTCCAGAGCACATAATCTTTCAAGACCACTGATTAACAAACCTAAAGCAATCAGATGACTTCATGGCCACAGGTAACCTTTGGAGCTCAGTAGGACCTCCTGAGTCCTAAGCATCTGTACATACCCTCTGTCCCCGTTGCATATCAGGATGATGCTGTACAGCTCATCTTCCACAGTTTATCCTGTGTATGAAGGTTGCTAAAAAGTCAGAATGTGCTCCAACACCTATACTGCTTGAAGTAAATATCCCTGGGACTGTGTGATGCAATGCAGGGTAAATTCTACCTTCAGTTTAGACACAGGTGTTGCTGAAGAAGTTTCTTACAGACTATTCTTCCTCACTCATCTGAGCTTTCACTTACCCAGCTTTTAGGCTTTTTCTAACTATGGCAGAAGAGAGACCCTAATGCTGCAGGTATGATATAATTTCCTTATTTTCTCTAGAAGCATCAAACATAACATGATAACCATGCAACAGTCACTGTTATGCAGTGTTATGATGGGAAGTTGTCAGCAAAGAGTTAGGGGACAGCCATAAATGGGTCACCACGGAGACCATCATGCTGGACCTCAGGGAATTTTGATCTAAATGTATCCTCTCAGGTACCCACCTCACCATAGTAAGGAATTCCCCTCTTGTAATAGTGATCCATATTCTTGAACATCATTCTGTCTTTTTCTTGGTTGACTGCTACATAGTCATAGCCTTTCATCTGGATACCTGAGAGACACACCCAGTACAAAGGGAAGAAAACAGAAATCAGACGTGGGCAGAAAACTGTTTCTTTGAAAAGTTATATGGAGCGTTGATGCTCTGGAAGGAGAAGCATATGAAGAAAATGGTGATTGTTGGTTGTTTGCCACACAGGTCAGGATCCAGGAGATTCATGGAATCATAGAATGGTTTGGGTTGGAAGGGACCTTAAATATCACCTAGTTCCAACCCCCTTGCTATGGGCAGGGACACCTCCCACTAGACAGGTTGCTCAAAGCCCATGATTCCTTTCAGAAAGTACAATCTATAAGCTTTAATCAGCTACTCCCAACCTCCATGTGGTGTTACCTGTCCCATTTTCAGTGACAATGCTTTCTACATTGAGGCTGGTATACATCCTGGCGTAGCTGCGATAGAGCTGGAATGTTTTGATGGAGATGACAGTGTTGAGGCAGCCATCCTTCCCCAGCTGAAAAAGGAGCACAAAGGGAAAAGCCCATTTTTCTCAAGGTTTGGAAAATTGCTCCTGAATCTGTATTAGTGGGTCTCTGAAGAGCATCACTGCCTCTGTTCATATCTCCTTCAGCTCTTCCTTTTTACTCAGTTCCCTCCTCTCTTACACTTCTCACTTCCTGGCTCCCTTTCTAGCTCATTGTTTCAATACCATTTACCCTTGCACCTGGAAACTTCTTTCCTCCTTCCCATTAGTCTTCTCTATGATTAAGCCCATCTTGCGTGGTGCCTGAGCTCTATGACCAGAGCACTTTGAGTCTGATCTAGAGGAGAAATTAATCATTAGTTTAATATTAAGGGTCCTCAAAGACTCCCAGTAGAGGTCTGCTGATTAGATTTGGTAAGAACACAGTTCCAGTGTTTTAGGAATGACAACAAAAATATATAGTTTCATAACTTTCTCTCCCTCCTACTGAGGGAAAAATCAGTCTCCTAATGAAGTAATTGGTAAAAACTACCTTCATGGTCTTTAAGTGTTGCCTGTGAGGTAGTGAGAAAAATTACGCCTCTGGGATTGTCTCTCTGCCATTCCCAGGAGATGAATGACGCTGCCAAACACTATGCTACATGTTGGGTAGTAAAGCTAACTGGGAAGAGAGGCCTTGCCCTATATCTTACCGGTCCAGTGACAGCTTTGCAGGTTTCTTTCAGGTTTTGCTCACATTGTGGACGATAAAAGCGCTGCTGACACACATTGATTTGGGCATTCCCTTGCACTGGTTGGCCATAAGTGTACCTAGGAGAGGAAGAGACACAAGAATTGAATCATGAACTTAGCATGAAATCTGCAAAGGTTGCAGAGCAATGCAGACTCTAAACACCTTGAGAGTGCCAAAACACAGACAAAAGAGCAGTTACCCTTAGCAGAATTCATTTCAACTATTTTTAGGCTGTTTCTGACATCTTGTTAAAAACCTCTGCTTTACCATTGTCTTGGTGTAGTTATTCTTCAAGGTCTGAAGCTGGAAAGTGATGCTGGACTCAAGGTTGGGATATCATTCCCTAATCCTTGCTTTTTCTTATTAGTGCCTTATGCAAAGCAGGACATATTGCAGAAAGATCCCTATTCACCCCTTCAGCTCATGTCACCCTGCCCTTTGGCAGTGTCACAGCCAACAACCTTAATAATAGTCTCTCCTTCTGTACTATTTCTCTCCTTTGCTGTAATAATAAAAAACAGCTAGTGAGTATGTACTGATTGATATCATCAAACTGTTGGATGCACACAAACTCTCCCCATTCTAATTCTGCTGTGTAGCAGGAGCAGAGTTGTCATATTTCATGTATTGGAAATCACAGCTAAAGGAATTTCTCTAACACATACTCTGAACCAGCAGTAGGGTCCCTGCTTCCCAGCACCATCCTCTAGCCCATGTTTCTTGTGCACAAATGTATTGTTCCCAGCTCTGATACTTACGAAGCACAAACATTCACCCTGACTTCTTCATCAAAGAAAGAAATCGTCTTTGGCACACTGGTTGTCACTTCAAATTTCGGCAGCACTAGGAATGCAATGTGGATATGACTGATTAGCAGTTGCGTGCCATAGGCAGGTGTGTATATAGAACACAGTAAAAATCAGTTGGCAAAGGCCTTTTCATCAGCAAGGAAGTGGAAATAGTTTAAAGAAAAGTCTACCTAGGAGCTGGCTGTACAATGTTATCAGAAAAAAACCCAACCTTTAGAGTTAAGATGAATAACTTCTTTAAAATGCATTAGTAATTATACTAATAGTGATAACAGCCACAGTAAGAACGGTGACAAATCACTTTAACTGGCTGTACATTTTCCTCAAGAGAAAGGTAGGAGTAATGCTGATGTCTCAAACTAGTTAAGCCCTGGAGAACAGAAGTTATTGTGCAATCCATCCGCATTGAAGGAGAAAGACAACAGATTAAGTGAAACAGTAAAATCAAACAAGTCACTCTCACGCTCTGTTTTCAGCTTATCTTTTGTCCCAGATCAGCAGCAATAACGACAACATAGCTGGAAAAGGCCTTTTTCTAATGCACCTGTACTCGGGAGACTGGAAGGCATGAAAGAGCTCTGGAGGGTAAGCAGAAAAGGTGCTTTACTGCCCTTACAATAAAACCAAACAACTGGGAGTTGTCCAAGCCTTCTCTGGAGACTACTAAGGAAAACCTGCCACTATGAGAAAACTTGCAAAATCAAAACGAATTTAGCAAATCCCTTGAGATAGTCTATTTCAGGAAGTATGCAGATAACTATGAATGCTTTGGCACCTCCACTACCCACTGCTTTCCATCTTTTGTGTCCAGTGGCTATCCAGCTTCCCCCCCATAGTAATCCAGTACCTGTCATTTAATCTGTTTGACAGATAATGTCTTCAGATTTCCACTGCATATTTTTCCCTAGTGCTCTTCATACAGTGATGACCTCCACAAAACAAGGCAAGCCTAACTCATTCATTTTGCCTGTGAACAAATAGGCAGAGTAAGGTCTGAGTGATAGATGCAGATCTCAAAGACACAGAGTGACTTTGTGGCAGGCCCAGGAAATGTCTTTCTTTCTCAGGCATTAAGTGGAAAATTCAAAACACTTAAACTTGGCACTAGCAGCTCCTGTCTGACTTAGGCAGAGCCTCATTGCTGGTGTGAGGCAGTTTGCTTACCATATTCATTCACCATGAAGTACTGGTACTCTCTTTCACCTGACTTCTTCTCCACAATTATGTTGTAGGACCCAAGAATGGGCTCTGGGATCAGTGGGAAGGAGAGCTGGACAATTCCATGCTTAGATACTACATCTAGCCACTGGAAGATCTTGTTTTGCTCTGGATCCTGGAGAATGGGAGAAAGACATGTATGAAAACCTTTATCATCCTGTTTCTTGTCTTCTTGCCTTCTTTCAAGATTTGTATCCTGGCATATTGTCTAAGTGTATCATGGGGTGAATGCAAGTTTGGGCTGATGACATGTGCTTTGACTTCCCATTAATTTTCCAGATCTGTTTGTGGATGCTGAACTTCTTTAGAAAGAGATCTAGTGGTCACCTAGTGATCTTTGAGACCTAGTGGTGTGCAATGTGGTAGAAGACTGATTCGTTGTTATCCTGTCCCCCAAAAGAACACAACATTTCAGAAAGTTGCTATTCTTATGCCTGTATTAGAATAAGGCTATTTCACCAGCCCATTTACTATGGCCCTACCAAAATAAGACTACACTGAACACTCTCGTTTCAATCCTAACAAAGGACACAGCAATAACCCTACGCCACCTTTGACTAACATTTCCAGTTCTGCTGGTTTCTTCTCCTCTAGTGTCTGATAGTGGGTACTGCCACTGTTCAACCCATTGGCTTTAGATGATGTGCTCTGGATGAGTCTCCCTCAGCTACTGACACTATGAGGAATGGCAAAGCACAGTATTTCCAAAGCAACTTGTGCTTTAATAATGTGGTGTATCTCTTACCTCAATGACGATTCGGGGGTACTGGAGGAAGAAAAAAAGAGAAAGAAAAAAAATGATCAAAACATCAAGTAATGAACTGTGGAACTTGAGAAATACTAGAACATAAGAAAACTGTGAACAGCTTTCTCTGGATACCAAAAACAGGAACAAGAAAGCAGTCTGAACCTCATCTCTGTAATTAAAGAGATGAATTTAAGAGAATAGCCATTTTGTGAATTTATCTTTTCTACAAAAACATCAAACCTGTGCATATCTGAGGCAGACGAAGTGAAGTGACTACAAAATCTGAGCGCTGTAAGAGAGTTCCAGAAGTGATTTCAGACCCTTTGCCCTCTATAAAGACAGGGAAAGGATGGAGTCTGAAGCTAAGGAGTTACAGCAGTTCTCCAAAAACATAAGGAGGTCTATCCCAGGCACTTTTTATTCAACTTGTAAGTAAAAGAGTCTCAGTAAACAGTACCTCAAGAGGGTGTTTGAAAAATCTCAACTATCACTCATACTTACTGTCTCCTGAACAGGTCTGAACTGGGTGTCCAAACTGACCACACGAAACAACACTGAAAAAGACATAGGATAAAAAAGAATAATTTACTTTAGCAGTGTTAAGTCATTTTCAACATACAACTGAAATAAAGTTTGCCCAGGCTTTTAGGGAGAACTAAAGAATCCCCAGAGAACTAGGAAGAATTTTATTATTTTAGGCAATGAAAAAGAAAAACAAAATAAAATTGGTAGCTGAAATATCTTCAATTCTGACCCACTGGGACTAAAGTAACCTACACGGTAAATACAAATAGAAGTACTTCCTTCAATTCCTCTTGAAGGACTAAGTTCTTTGGGATGTTTCCTAAAAAAGTTTATACAAACCAATTAAATTAAAAAAAACTGAAGAGAAGGAAGAATTTGTCTTTATTCTAAGTATAAACCCTGTACAGCGCTGAAGTATAGTTATACTAAAGAGATAGCTAACTATACCACAGCTAGTACTATCATTTAAATATTGTGTACTATCATTTAAATTAATCAGCACTGTGAATTAGATTAGCAGTTAAGTAGAAAGAGCTGTTGACAGGAAATTACATGCTTACTTTATTTTTATATGTATTTTATTAATTCTAAGCTTAACCTATTATTTTCTGTATTTTAAGGACACTTTTTATGTGACTGACCTCAGTAAATAAACCTGGCAGAACTGAAGATCCTGTAAATGCAATTAACTCAGTAAAAACATATGAACTCTACTCATTTGTTGCAGTTTTTTAAATTGGTTCTATTTTTCACTGTCTTGTGGTGAGCCCAACCTCAGATGACAATCATGCACTGTCTGAAGGATTGCTCATGACCGTCACAGTCCATGGTCTTTTATTCCACAAGAGGAAGTCCCAGTCATTCTAGACCCACCCTTACATTCAGTTTCCCAGTTCAGTAGCTGACTCAAACTCCTCAGCCACCTTTTTGCCCTGGCTTGTAGATGGGTTTGTCCGTCTGGATGAACACAGTATTATCCACATTCTGGATTGCCACTGATCTTCTCTCAGCTAAGTTTACTGTGGTTCCTATGGCAGAGAAGGAAATGAATGCCAGGGGATCAGAAGTAGCAGGAGGAACCTGGAGAGAAACAAAACCCCAAAGGAAAAATGGTAAATAAGATACCCTGAAGTCCCCTGATGCCCAGGGTTCTTGAGTAAGCTACTGACTGTCAACTGAATCACAAATAGCTTGTGCAAAGTCATGAGAAAACCCATCTTTGCCAGTGAGATTGTCTCTGGGAATTGCAGCTGTGAAAGTCCCATAGTCTGTCATCAGTTACTAAGGTTTTAAGTGATACCCTGTCCTATACATTCCATCATCTCATGTAGGTACCTGCCTATATGCAGGTTGTCCCAGCCATAGAGCTCAACTTCGAAGTGTTTTCTTCTGCTGCATTCTGGCAGACCTAAACTTGGGACTTGTTTGTTTTATCTATCCAGATTTTGCAGAATCACAGGAAAGGGAATGAGCATGTCCCAGCTGGGTTCTCCAGCTTGCCAACTGTGACAGTCCCATAGGGCACATGCCCCTGTATTAGCAAGCAAAATCTTTTTTCTGTTCATTCTGTGATTGGAGATGGAAAGTCTTTCTCCAGCTTCACCCTACAACCCATATTTCTTTATCTTGTCTATATTGTCAGCCTTTCCAGCAGCATGTCTTTTTTTTTTTAATCCTATTTGCTGCACTCTCTCTTCATCCTCTTGCCCTCACTGGCAAGGAGAGTTGCACTCAGAAATACACTTCTACACCCTCTTTAGTAATCTCAATAAAGAAAATACCTTGAACTCGCAGCACTTGAAGAAATCATTATTTGTGATGGATTCCTCAAAGAGAGTCTCCCGGATGCTGCCATATTCCAGGACGATGCTCAGGGACAGAGGTTCACTGAGACTGTGGAACTGCACACAGGCAGTCTGTGGAGAGTCGCTCCGCACGACTGTTGGGACCAGCAGCACATACTGGCTGTGAGAAGGCAAGACCAGATCGAAGAGTTCAGTCATGCAGGAAAGTCAGAGCAAACAGGAAAGGAAAATACCACAGAAATGCCATATGTGTGAAGTAAGACACAGTCCAAAGCTTGCTCAAACCAGTGGAAGGATTTCCATTTCTTTCAATGAGTTTTGAATAATAAGCTGAGAAAGTACACATGACAGTTTTTTATCCCTCAGAGTTCTTTCTGCGCTGAAAGACTGACATCATTCTATGCAGTCTTTTATCCAGCATGATACTACATCTTTTCATCCCAGGGATTTACACAGCTCCAATAACTAAAGTGTCTAAACACCTGACAAGCATAGCTGCATTTATTCTCCCTTGACCTATATGTATACTTAAATTTCTGGACCCTCCCATAAGTAGGAGTGATACTTAGCTTCCTTTTAAGATCAATGACAACAATACTAGTTAATGGTTACAGCAAGTTTTAAATTTCTTTTTCTCTGGATATCTCTCCCTCCAGATAAGAACTGACACATCATGAGTCAAACAGCATAATGTACAAGAAATGATGCCACTTTTCCATTTTGCAAAATATTCCAGGGAGCGCTCAAACCTACATGCCTTAATCTGTTTCCATGCCTCTCCCTGTTTTGCTTCCTTTGCTTCTTTCTTCCATTGGGCTTTTTCAGTTGTACTGGTCTCTATTATTAGGGCAGTCTTCCTTCCCCAAATTCTTCCTATGAAAAACATTCCTTCAGATTTGCTGTTTTTGGCTTAGGTTCTGTTACTGGCCACTGATTCTCTGCTGCCCAACTAGTCTTTACAAATAATGTATGACAGAATTGATGAGTTAGTTCTGTAGCACAACGTGAATTGCACAATCTTTTCTTGGTAATTTAATCCTTTCCCTTTTTTTCTCCCACAGCTTTGCTTGCTTATATTGCCTTTACTGTTATTTTAATTTGCCCAGTTCAGACTGCACAATGTTCAAAGACCAAAAGCAAAATTATTAAAACTGGGAGTGTATATGATAAAGCTAAACTTTCTGACTTTCAGTCAGAGCTGAACTCTCTGACTTTAGAACTTTTGAGAAGGGGATTTAAGCTCCAATATTGATGCATTTTTGAAAATTGTGGCTGAAATCTTTTGTTTGTATAAAAGCGTGGACATTGCCCATGCTGTATGAGCTATGACAACACAGCAGGTGTAATACTGATACTGGTACAGGTACTGGTACTGGTGCTGGTGTTGATTCTGATACTGATACTGATACTGATAGTAGGATTGCCATTCAGCATAGTCCCTAGAACCAGCCATGATCTGGCCCATGGCACCTCCTCATACACCATGCACTCTCTGTACTGCTGATGCATATCAATCCTGGTCATTAGTATGACTTGTTAGTCTAGTCTTGAATCTCCTCCCCACTTTACCCATGCACTTCAGACTTCATCTGCTCCAGTTCTAGTTTTCTGTCATTCAAATCAGATTACATAGCATTTTTATGATGGAAAACACCATTCAAAATCAGCCTTTAATGTCCTCTACTTCCATTTCAGACACATTTAAGAAAGTAGCTCTCAAACATCCAGTTTACATAGCAGTGTCCCAGAAGAAATAAACTAGTAGAAAATATAATAAAACATGTTATCATAAAAAGACAAGAATGTATGATCTCTTACAGTTCAGAAGACACTGTGGCAATCCAGTTCAAGGACAGAATACTCAGAAGAATCCTTGACCACATCTCTGTCCGTGAAGAAGAAAGAAGAGAGACTGATCCAAGCGGGCAGCCTGTCTTCTGGCTTTTAAACTGGCCTGAGATGGTGCTCCTCCTCCATGGCTTCAATCACCTTCTGTCAAAAGATATCTACATAAAATTTGCATAGGTTCATCTTCCCCTCTGCTGTCTGTTCTCACACTCCTTGAACTCTCAAGCAATAGCTTAGGAAAGCTCTCATATTTCACATAGCTTGATGAGGCATTGCAAGCCAAACCGGTTCCTGCCCATCTGAATGTTTTATTGAAGCTTACCTCTCTGATTATTGTGTCACTGGCTGGAGGTTTCTTAATTTTTCAACCTGTCACTATTTGCCACTGCTTATGTATTTCCTTGTTCTGTGAAGATCTCCTGTAGATACACCTCACAAAACAGAAGTAATCATAACACAGTGCTGTAGGATGTCTGTATAGCAGCCTGGGCAGTAATAATACAGCATCAGACTATAACTGCATTCAGTACGGCACAGAAAGGAACTTCTAATGATAACCCAGATTTCTTACTGCACACAGTAACATTCAGCAGGGAATGGTGTTGGCTAGTGGTCTACCATTTTTGCCAGTGGTCAGGACAAACATATCTCTAGGGAAAGGAATCTGCTGTCATTACTTCATGTGTCCATTCATTTGCCTGTCAGTTCACTTTTTCCCCCGTCCCTGCTCTGCCCATCAAACAATGTGTAAGCCTGTTGGTAATTTTTTAGTAAAACTAACTGAGACATTGTTTCAGAATAATCAAGATACAGAATCATAAAATAATTTTGACAGAAAGGAACCTCCTGAGAGTATGTGGTACATCTCTCTTCTTAAGCAGGACTAGCTTCAAAGTTTATTCAGTTATTTTTTTAATATCTCCAAGGATGGAGATTCTATATCACCTCTGAACATCTGCTAACATGCTTAACCATTCATGTTGTGAAGATTTTTTTCCTTAAATCAGAATTTCCCATACTATAACTTGTATTCATTGCTTCTTGTGCTTTCACTGAACATCACCGAGAAGAATCTGTCCCTACCTTCTCTATAGTCACACTTTATGTAGCAGAAGACTGCAACTATTCCCCCTCTTAGCCTTTTTTTCTCCAGGTTGAATAAATAAGACTGTTTCACTTTCTTTCTCTTGGTTTATTCCAGCCACTGACCATCCCAGTGACTTTCTACTGGACTCCCTCCAGTCTGTCAAATCTTTTCTTGCACTGGGGAGTCAAATCTGGATACAGAACTTCATTTGTGATCTCATAACTGCAGACTAGAGGAGAAAAATAAATTTCTTTGATGTGTTGGCTACACTTTTGGTAATACAGCCTCAAGACGGGAAACCAAATAATCTATAGTAATGGGGACACTGCATTCACACTCTTACATAGAAAAAGAAAAAAAAAAAACAACCAACCAACCAACCAAAATATAAATTAGCCAATCAACATAACTATAACTGCAACCTAGAGAAGTAACAGGCAATTTCCCTTCCTCTTCCTCAGCCAAACAGGTGATGAATGGGAAGAGGAAGCAGAGTATACTGTAGGAGTAATTAGGGACATAAAAGAGAGCTAGGGGCACTGAAAAAGGTGTTTGGCAATGCAGAGTGAGCCTGAAGTTATATCATTGGTAAGGGGTATGAGAAACATGGATGAGGGACTGTTGAAAGCCAGATTCTATCAATTTAACTTCTCATGATATAATACATTCTGGATTATGATTCAGCCATACAGGAATTGTTCTTTCCATCAGCATAGGTGATACCCTTAACTGCCAGCTTACCTACCTAACTTTACCGGAAGCATTCTGATGACCAAGTTAGGACAAAAAGAAAACTGCCGTGGGTGCTGCTGGAGCTGCTGTCTATTCCCACTGCGTTACTAGTGAGAAATATTGCACAAAGCTTCCCAGAATGACCTGACATTAAGGTGACAACGCTGCACGGCAGGTGGGTGGGCAGTGTGCAACCAGGGCGATCACACTGTGAAGAAAGTGTCTATGTTAGTTGTAATGCAGGCAGAAGACAGCTAAGACTATGTCACAGATGTGTTTGTATTATTTGCAGCTTTGAAATTCCTCAGACACCATGTCTTACTCTAAACAGGTGCTAAGTAATAGGCAAAAAAGAACTAAGGAGGGAGAAGGAAATAACAATCAGTCTCAGGGCCCTGGTGCAAATTTCTCTAGCAATTAATCCTTTATTTAAGGGCAGCATGCCTTTAACATGAATGTAACAGGGTTTTCTTGTTGATACACAGACATGGAAACAAAAAAGACCAAGCATTTGAAAAACTGAAATCTTAGAAGATATCTTGTTCAGATCAATTGGACATTTCTCTGGAAACAACCTATTGAATTCATTACTTTACTGAAATTACCAATCCTGGAGGACTTCTTTGTATTGTAGCAATGTTGTGATAAAGAAAAGTAAGCTTAGATCTTTAAGAACATCACTACCATGTCAGGGATAATTCTTAAGAAGACCACAGTGCAATGGGGAAATTATTTCAGCTTTGTTTGGCAGCAGGGAAAAAGAAGTAATTTTGGGTTGTATGATTAAGAAGCTGGGAGCATGAAGGGGTTAATCATCCAGAAGCACAAAGATCAGGATTTAACATGGGGGAGATAATGAACCTCACACTAAGCAGCTGATACAATACAGGCACACAGAAGGTACCTTGATACTGGATGTCATATAAATCAATCTGTTTACCTTAGACTAGCCCTGCTTTATATTGGCATAAAGAAAGATGTAATTAGAGATCATAGTTTGGCTAGAAAATTGATGAAAAGAGGAACAGCGCCAAATCCACTTCAAATGCAAAACAATGCAAATACAGACTTAAGTATCACATATGCACATGGTTTTCAAAGTAGAATCATGGCAGAGATGACTCTTTGAATGGCAGAGAATCAAAATGTCTTTACTTCATTCAGTCCAGACTTCAGAAAGTGACTACATTTGCTTGCTTTTATGAAGAAATTCTATATACGCATGAGGGTTTTTTTCTCTCTATTCTTTCTCGTGATGACTCAGAGGGATGATTGTTGCTGTTGCACTGGAAACACGTCTTAGTTAGTTTTCTTTCCCATAAAGCTGATTTTGCCCATCCCTTTTATCACATCAGATGCAGCTCTCCTCTTTTTCTCATTTACACTGGGCACACATACACAGCACAGAAATGTAGTTTTCCAACTAACTCTGATCCCACTCATTTTCTGGGAGCAGTTAAGTTCAGTGTTTCTGCATGCACACTGCACTCACAACAGAATTCTATAAGGCTGTGACTGGCCCACCTCCAATACCCCAGCTAGCTTGCGTAGACCATCTCGTATTTCCCTGCACTGTCCTAAAATGCCCAATATAGCTGTATGTGCAGAATCTAGACAGTAGATGTAGTCACAAATTAGAAAATAAACATGTCAAAGAATGTCCATTTGCTATGCTGAACACTGCATAGTCTGAAAATAGAGTTGAGACATTCAAATTCTCAGTCAGTACAGACCTAAGTCATGCCTGTTTCCCTTTGTGTTAGAGGAATAGCAAGAAGATCAGTGGAAATCTGAGCAGCTTTCAGCAGTGAAGTCTTGGATTTTCCAGAAGAATGAGTAATACGTAATTGTTTCTCTTCTATGGCTCCACTTAATATTTGCATAACATTTAAGGACTGAGAGTACTTTCTAAGTCATTACTTCACCTGAGATGAAGTACAAACAATCCACCCCACACCTGTTTAATCATCTAGTTTCTTTCTCTAACACAGGCATATATGGGGTCAGAGCCCCAGCTTCCATTTCACTTATGCAGTGGTCCCAGGCTGTTTTCTAGCTTGTGATCTTCTCAGGAAATTAACATTCTGTGATTCTGTGAAAAGCTTGCTCACAATACATTTATCAAACTTACTCTGACAAAACATTTTGCTTTAAAAAGCAAGCATATCTCTGAATAGTACTGTATATGTCTCAGAGTTGGATACTGTGGATGAATTCGCCTACACAATCTTCCACTCTTCCAAGGCATATCCCTATCTGCAAACTTTTAGGTTTGGAAGTGGTGGTGTTTCTCAGAATGCTTAGTGGCAACAGGCAGCTCATAGCGTGGTTGACAGAGTATGCTGTATTATTTAATGTCAAATAGATGAAACATGTTTCTAACATTGCTCATTTTCTGTAATAATAAAGAACTGGTAATATTAAGCATTGTAACACTGTTATATAGAGAAGAGTAAACAGCAGACTGTTCACTTTCTGCAAGATCTTTGTTACAGGTAGACAGATCGTAAATTAACTAGTATGCTATCAGCATCATATTTCTGCAATATATTTTAGCCCTGCCTATGAGATATAAAGTATTACAACCTCATATGTCATGAAACATCTGAAATACCATCCATTTTTCTTGTTCTATAAAGTGTAATGTATACAGATATCCTTGAAAAACCTCTGCTATGTCTAAATGATGAAAATAGGAGGATATACACATAGCAAGTCAGACCAAACAAAAGAGTTTAAAAAAGACTAGCAAAGAAAATCAAAACTAATAATCACTCTCTCTTCAAAAACAACAGGAATAGGAAGTCTACCAGAGAATCAACAGGGACATGTAATGAGAAAGATAGAAGATGAGTTCAAGAAGAGTCCAGGAGCAGTGGAAACAATAACGATTTTTGTATATTGTTTTAGTTGATCTAATAAGTATTAAATATTACTGTATTAAATGAACCATTTGATATCAAAAGTTCATTTTTCAAAAAATAAAATACCAATCAATCTATGGACAATGTAATTCTGATGTAGTAATTATATTGCTACCATTCTGAATCAGTTCAAAATCCTGAACCAATGACACATTGATTTAACTTAAGATTTGATTATTACGGACCTTTGCTATAAAGGACCATGGACATGTATTTCACTTGATCACAAAGGACAAAAATGTGTGTCAGGGAGCCTTTTAAAGGGTAAAAATCATTTTTCTTTCCGTAGAAA